TCTTCTCTGTTCTAATTTAGCACCCAGTTTTCCGGAGAGTGTCAGCTATGAAGGGCCAGATATCTCAGAAAACACTAGGGATCTGCCTTCCAGGAATTGGGGTCTGTTGAGTATTCCCCTGTTGGGTATCTACAAACTGAACACTAAAAGTCACTTTATAAAAGTGCTGCCTAGCACCTCTGCATATGTGCAAAGCAAATCCTGAAGGACTTCTTTTGAATCTTATGGCTTCAATATTATGTGAGTCAGGGAAAAGAGACAAAGTGAAATGAGTCTCAAAATGGGACTGTCAAGTTCTTTTCTGGTAGAGCTGATATTAATTTTTAATACTCCATCTGTGATCAGAAGAAAAGAAAGACCTTTAGTTCTCAGCACAAATCTTTGAGCACATTATTTTTCATTGCAGACATTATATATTCACTTCTGTGATTCACAGAGTTATTTGTATATTTTTTTCTTTCTTTATGGCAGTCCAAGAGAGTCCCCCTTTGACCTTATCTTGAACTAAGGCCACAAAATACATTACCAGCAGCCCCTCATCAGTAATCCTGTTTGGCTACTTTATCTATAGGAGTAATAAGATAATTCACTTTGGAGTCTTTGAGAGGATGAGAAGGTCCTCGTGTCAGTTCTGTCTTTTTATTGCTAAAGATTAAATAATGATGAGTGTTGATGTTCGAGTTTGGTGATTGGCATGGTATTTTGCACTTGTTTTTTTCTGTCTGTAGGACTGTATTTATTACAATTTTCTTCCCTCTGTGGTCTTGTTCTGCATTTGGTGCTAGATTCCCTTCTAGATTTGCTGTCACTTGTACCTTTGATCAGGGCTGAATTTTAACTCCATGAAACTTTCCCTGTCACCATAAACTCCAGGTAGCTTCATGTCTTACTGATTCACCTGAGCAAGCGCAGAGGTCACATGAAGGTTTGGCAAAAGGAAGGCACATATTAATTGAATCTTTCTGAGATGGCAAGGCCTCCTCCTGTTTTAGCTGCACTCCTTTACATTAAGATACGATCAGTTCTGCCAATCACTTGGAAGTGCTACAAGGAGCTAATTTTGTGGGTCCATGGCTTATTCAATCTATGACAATTCGGACAGAAGATGAATACAAAATTTAATTATCACTGGGAGTACCTTTATTGAATTTAAATGAACTGATCTTTTAAGATCTATAATTTATATATTCCCCAAATATCTGTTCCTCCTAACAAATGGGGAGCTCTGAATAGCACATGTATTTTTTACAGTAAAATAGTTTTTCATCTGCATGTGTGTTCAGTTACATTAGAAATATGTTTTTGGAGAAGGAGTGTTTTGTAGCCTCCTAATTTATGTGAACAGATTTTAACACTCAGAAGCTGAACTAGTAGCCCTGGAGAGGCTTCCTCACATTTCTGCTCATGCATGAAGCTCAGTCAAGGCATAGGAGGAGAATATTGTGCAAAGATGGGTAGAACAGTTCTTTCTTTCTTTATTATTTTTTTCCCTAAATGTGTTTATACCCTCTGGAGGGCCAAATCTCCTGGATTAATTTAAATTGCTGTAAAGTGTCTTAAAACTGTACCTGCTGACTTTACACTGAAACAGATGTGATGAGTTCAGACTTCCACTCTGCCAGCTTCCCTGGGCAGGAACTAACACCTAGTGGGAGAGAAAACAGGCAATGAGGGAACATTTTCACTTACAGTTTATGTCCTTCCGAAAACTGGTAATCGGGCACCACCGCTTTTGTTTATTGATCTGTCTCACGTGAACAGAGTCTGCAGGAAAGGAGATTTGAAATGGAGAGTAAAACAGACCAGCAAACCAAAAACCCAGGTAATGAAATTCAGTCTGGATCTGACAGATCTTCAAGATCTCTGCACTAAATCTCTCTGAGAGTAGAGAACACAAGTGTGTTCAGTGTACAGTATTTAATCCTACTTTAAGTACCTGCCAAACAGACATAAAAAGAGCAAAGAGTTTTGGTATTTAGTTCTGTCCAAGGATTTATGCAGGACTGCAGTAACGGAGGCTGTAGCCTGGCAGAGAGGTTGCTGATCAGAAGAGGGCTAATCCATAACACAAGCTTGTAAAATTATTTTACTAATGTTGTTGTAGTGATTCAAGTGCAAATGATTAAACCCAGATGATGCTGCTGTATCTGCCCCTCTTTCCTTATGGAAGCAAGAAAATTTTCAAGAGAGAGAGACAAGATCCTAAAAGAGCTTCTGGGCATGTGCTTATGGTCTGGGGTAAGATGCAGATGAGGAAGGATGAATAAACAGGCAGAGTTTTGCTCCTCTCATCTGAGACTATGGATCCTTAAAGACCCCACATAGCTATGGAGAGAGCCCTGGAGAAATGTGAGGTGACTCCAGTGTGTGCGCCACATTGCAGCAAGGTGTAAAGGTGCAGCTGGTCCTGGATGCTCCCCACACGGGCAGAGCCCTGGGCCTGGGCGTGCAGCCATGAGGATTTGCCTCATGCGCTCCCTGTTCAGATCTCACCCCAGTTAGTCTGAACTTGGAGCTGCCTCGTACAGAGTGCACAAAGCATAGTGTCCACATCCTTCTGGTGAGGATGATGCCAAAGCACAAAAGCCTTTTGAACAGAGGAAAAAAAAAAAAACAATGCATAGACAGGCTACAATTAATATTAAATGGATACAATAACCTTGCAAAAGAGAAATGACATGATATGATACAAGGCCTACATGACTCATTTCATTCCTGGGAAAAAACAAACAGCTATTCCTAAATGAATCCAAATGAGTCTTCCCAGTGTGATGCATCACCTATACCTTGTCTCACTAACTTAATTTGCAATTAAGTATGGGCACAATATCATTGCTCAGCAGGGCCAGTGGAGCTGCTGAAGGCAAGTGGCAATGGTCTGCCCTGCTGTGATTTGCCAGCATGTTTTGGGGAAGCATCACAAACTGGACTTGAGTTTGCTGCCATTCTAAAAACATGATCCTAAAGTACATGACATCTAAACTAGAACCGGTGGCCTGACTTATGGTGGAGGGAAAACACAGGATATAATGTCTACAAAAACCTAACAACAGGAGAACACAGAAAATGGGAAGCTTATTGCATTGCAAACACTGAAGAGCTGTTTCTGAGGTGGAACTCACCTCAGTGGGATGTATGGTGGATGATACTCAAAAGGACTGCAAATGATTTCAATGAAGAAGTTAACATTTTCTGGGAATGTGGGTCAGCTTCTGTTTGTAGGTAGAATCTCCTACAGCTTTTTCCAGTGTAAGGAATGTATCCTTATCACTTAAGTAATACCTAGGTGATTATTGCTGAAGGCAGCCTGAAACCATCACTTTTTCCCTTTAAGGCATTGTCCAGCCACAGAGCGAGATTTAGGGTTAAGTGCAGCCGGAATGGACCTTCAGATGTACCTGGGGACAGACCGGCATTCAGAGCAACCATCCCCAGGCTGGGCAGAAGGTGAAATACATCTGCCCTTACAGATGTGTGTCTTTACAGTCATCCTATTGCAGGTCTAGGCTTTTTATTGTGTGATCAGTAGGAAAAAAAAGCCAAACTATGCTCTTTTACTCCTAGAATTTTATTTTTGACTCCTGATGAACTTGGGTGCTGTTTGCCTCCGCTGTTTTACCCAGAATGGACTTTGAAGTCTCCAGATCTGGTAGAAATTACTAGACACAAGAGACACCACCCGCCTTTGCAGATCCTGGCAGCAGAGCGGAGGACTTCGTTTCTGCTGAGATTCCCAGTCCATCCAGCGGAGTAATCCCTTCCCAGCACAGTGAGGAGCCGATTGCTTTTCAAGACACGCGGCATCTTCCTGCCCTGTCAGTCTCCTTTGTACTTCCCGACAGGGGGTTCATTTGATTGCATTATCATAAAGCACTGAGCATCTCTACAACCACTGTGGCAGTGGTTGCATGAGTCAATGTTCTGGGACAGACCCTCTGCTCTTGGGGTCCTGCCATGCTCAAAGGGACACGCACTGCCTGGAAAGGCAGCCTGCTTCCCTGGTTCTGGTCCCTGAAAAACAAAACAAAACACCACCACCACCCCCCAAAAAAAAAACAAAAAACCAACCAAGCAAAAAGGACGAAAATCCCTTTTCTGTGATATGTACAGGAAAAAAAAAGAGTTTTCCTGTATGTTGCTAAGAGAGGAAGAATTATTTGGTTCCTTAGGTTTCCTACATAAGGAAAATGCCTCCCACCATACCTTTTGCAGAGGGATAAAAATAAGCATCTCTTTTTACCCATCCAGTTTCATCCAGTTACCTAGTGTTACTACCTATTTTTGTGTTGGGATCTTCTCCAGGTTTTTGCGATAATATTTTTTTTTTAAGAACAGACAGAAGAGATTATTAGCTCTCCAGATTTTCTCATGGAAAGCGAGTCTTGTTTTTAAGCAGAATGGCCAGCCCGGGAGGAGCGTGCGGAGGGGGAGCCAGGGGCTCTCGCTGTGCTGGAGCAGCGGCAGCTCTGAGTTTCTGCCCTGCTGTGCTGTGCCTTAAACTCACAGTTAAGCTGGTTATAAAATACCAGCAGAAAGTATTTCTGCAGGCAGAAAGTTGCTTTTTGCCGCCTATTTTTCCCTTGCTCTTGCACTCTGTGTCCCTTCTGTTTTTTCCGGGAAGGCACCGCTTTCGGTGTCAGGAGGCTCTAATGGGACACATGCTTTCAGGAAGCTCCTGTTCCCCTTGGAAAAAGACCAAGCACATGAGGCCCTTGGTGGGTGCGTGGGCAGATCCCTGCGGAGACCCCCCTTCCCTCCGACTTTTAGTGCAATTACAAAGCGGTCTGTGGTGGGGAGGCAGGCAGAGGGGATCTGCTCCTCCCTCCGCTCCCTCTCGAGTGCTTTTGCTTTCCAAGCTCAAATGTTCCCTGAAATCTGACGCCGGGGCTGCAACCGCTTGGAGACGTGGGCATGCCCTGGCCGCGCACCGGCCTCCTCCTCGGCTCCCGCAGTCAGAGCTGAGCGGCAGCTTCAAGCTGCTCCAGCGCCAGCCGGTGCCACGTCTGCTCTGTGCCTCGGTCCCCAGGATGCTCCCCAGGATCCTGCTCCTCCTCAGCGGGCTGCTTAGGGCCACCGAGCCGGCCCCCCGCTGCGAGCCTGGCCAGGAGACCCTAGGTAAGGCTGGCGACCCCCAAGCCCGGCTTCCTTTTGCCTCCCTTCGGCTGGAGGGGAGCAGGGAAAAGGGCTCCGGCTTGGAGGACAGGGAGGCTGAAGCTCTAGGATGGAGACCAGGGATGAGCGCTTTAGCAAATTGCAGGCTGATGGGGTTGATATTGGTGTTGTGTCTTGGAAGCGCAGTCAGGAAGATAAGCAGTGGAGTGAATCTATAACAAAAAACAAACAAACAAACCCCCCCAAACCCGACAATTTTATGATGCAAGGGGATGCAATGCTTCCCATCACTGACTTTTAAGTCCACATATGCATATGCCTATCTGGGTTTCCTCTCTGTAGGATCCCCCCTTGCTAGCTCGGGAATGCAGCAGATCATCCCAGGCTCTGGCCCATCCTTCTAGGAATGTGCTAGTTGGATTGCCGGAAGGTGAACTTTCGACCTTGTGAGTGTTTTTCTGTTGAAGAAAAACTCCTTACATTCAACTTCAGGTCATTTATTTCAAGTCCAAAGCACGAAAAGATTTATAAGCGTCTGACAGCTGTAGGGTGTGTTTTAGCTTGCTATAAGCAATATGGAATTTTTGTGCATTGATTAGCTGGAAAGATCGTTTCATCTATTAGAATAAACGACTGGGTAGGAATGCTTAGGTACCCGGATTAAAAGATTTTGGTTCAATAGCCAGATGACTGTTAAAAAATATTTTTAAAATATGTGACTTTTTTATAAGGGGATTTTAATTCAGATTTCATTTACATGGGGACAGGGGAGAGAGGAATCCAGAGGAACTCCATATAATGAAAAAGTCAGTTCCAGGAAAGCAGTAAGAGAGAGAAAAACTATTTTCAGAGGGTTCAAATTCCAAATAATTTGGGAAAAAATATATCTATAAGAATACAGGAAGGGCAGAGTCAACCTAAAATTGGTGTTAATGTTACTCAAGGAAGTTCCCAGTGCTTGAGTTTTTAAATACAAGCCATAGGCTGTCATGAAACTTCTACCCAGAGCAATCCGCGTGCCATGTACTGGGTCTAATTGGAGAGTGCCGTTCCCATGGACATCAAAGCGAGGTCTGCCACAGCTGGCAGGAATTGTATTTTTGGGTAATGCTGCACAAAGAGAAGTGTTGTAGTCTATTTGCAGCCCACTGCAGGAAGAGGCTCTGCGGTTTGCCGCATGCCCTTTTGCTCGGGGATCTGGTCCTGTTACAGATCAGGGCAATCGCAGTTTTGCTTTGGGGTATCGGTCCTGTGGACCACACGTATAAATATAGATATATAATGTATAGATATAGAGGGTAATTCTGGTTTGCAGAATATCCTGGAGGAGTCTGTGCTGGTCTAATGGAAGGGCTTGAGGAAAGGCAGGCAGCACAGATGCACCCTGTGCATGGAAGGACTAGACCCCCAAAATATGGCCCTAGAGAGACCCTAGAGAGACTCCCTAGGTGGTAGGGAGAGCCATCTGCCAATGTACTTCTGTTCTGACGCGGAGTGCAAGGTGAGGAAGGGGCATCCATCCTTTGGAGGCCTGTGGCCCATGGAATACGACTGGCCTGGAAAATCAGACTTCTCAAGGGTCTTGCTTTAGTAAGGGGGGAAGAATTTCAAGTCACTGCTGTGCCAGTGGTGTTTGTGGGGCCACTGTGTAGGGGGGCTCCTCTCAGTGACATTGGGCAGTAAGTTACAATTGCAGCTGTTTTAATGGGAGCTTGTCCATGACTTTTTTTCCTCCAAATGCAGCTGTGGAATAAATTTCAGTGGCTCACCAAAGCTGAGGGGTCCTGGAGTAGGAGACAAACCATGAGCTTCTCTGGGGCACCAGGGAATGGGAGATATTGATGCCTGACACCCAGCTGCTTTGGAGCTGGTTTCTGAAGATTTCTGGCTTTCTGAAGGTTTCTGAGGGATGTTTGCTTTACTGTGCCTCAATTTCCTCTTTATTTTAAAAAGAACCCCAACCTAGGGTTCACCATCTGGGAACCATGGCACTGCAAGAGAGGGCAGCTGCCTTCTCCTCAGCTCCACATGTCCTGTATGCCATGAGAAACCCTGCCCATTCCAAAGATAAATTGCTACCTTGCCCTGCTTGGAGGTAGCGTGTTCCAGCCCTTGCTGAGTTTTACTGGCCTCTTTTGGGAAAGAATAGCACAACTTGGCATGTTGCCTCTGAAAGGTGGCCAACCTTTATGGGGGGAGCCAACGGCACAGATTCCATCTCCAGTGGCAAAACCTGTTTTACCTGAGCCTGTTTCATGCATGTCTATGCCACTGACTGAGGCATCTCAGGGGGAATGAGTTAAATGCAGCACTTTACCCACAGCAAAAGGAAAAGGAAGGTAGAGGCAGGCTGACCTCTAAAAGCACCAAAAGCAGATGACTTACTTTGCAGTTGAGGCCAACTCTATTGCTGAGAAGCTACCAGCGGTCAAACTAAGCTTGCAAAATATCAGAGATAGCAAAATATTTCCCCGTTACTCATATTCAGCAGCTTTCAGCAGTTCCCTGGCTGCTCCCGCTGATGGGATTTCCCAGGAAAGTGTTCGAATGCCCGTGTGAATCCACCCTGGCTGTTCCATGGGCGAGCGGGGGGCTGGCAGCATGGTGGTTTCCCTTCAGCAGACGGCCTGGTCCCTGCAGAGCCGAGGTGCTGGGGTTACGGCACGGGCTGGCACAGGGACAGCGAGTGCCCGTGCTGGGGTCCTCGCTGCTGTCTGTGGTGCCACCGTGTGGGCTCGCGGGCTCGCACAGACTGTTTGGAGAGACCTCCACACCGAGGGTTTTAGAGGCTGAAGGGATGCCTGCTGCGGGCACAGGATACTTGCAGTAAAATTCATGCCCTGGAGCATTTGCAAGCTGTTTCGGTCAAAAAGGATATGCCATCGGAGGTCACGTCTGAGGTTGTTTCGTTGGAGGGCTGCTGAGACAGGGAGAGCACTGAGCATCTCTGCTATCTGCTTCCTTCTCTTCCTCCTCATATGCCGCTCACATCTATTCTCCTTCTGCTCCTTAGCTTGAAATTGCCACCCCTGGGCCACCTGTCTGAGCCTGACAAAAAGGGGGACAGCAGGGAGTGGAGCTGCAGTAGAGGGATATAGGAGAGAGAGCTGAGAAAGGAAAAATCACTAGTGTCAGTTCAGAGGAGAGACGTTTTATTCCCTCTGGGACCCAAAATAGCTTTTGTGGCACTGGTTATTCTGAGCTACAGTCCTGTGCAAGATTGATTGTATGCTGGAAAGCCAGAGTGTCTGAAAACTGGCCACACTTATAGATGCTGTATGTTTTCCCTGTCCTCCTGCAGTGATCCCGTTTCCACACTGTGCAATGATTTATTTGGCTCAAGAAAAGGAAAAGCATCTTCAGGCTGGCCCGATCTTCACGGGACCTAAACATGTTAAGCACACATTCTCAATGTTTGTTTCTGGCAGAAAAACATAAAAGCCCATGTCTCTGCAAGCACAATGTCAAGCAGAGCCTCTCCAGCTGCTCCCATGTGCTGCAGTGACTGCCCTGGGAAGACAGAGCTGGAGCTGCTGCTCTGCCTCGAGGTCCCTGTGCCGGGCGCATCCCTTGCCTGTCGGGCTGGCAGCAGGAGAACTGTGGTCACAGCGCCCTTGGGAGAGGCCAGGCTGTGGGACTGTCTCCTGCTGTGCCCAAGATGGGTGGCCAAGTCCTGTCAAAACAAACAAAAGGCAAAATTATTGTCTGCAATGCTCACAAGACAAGAAATTCCAAGCTTGTGAGGCCAATATCTTGTAAACTCGGCTTGTGTCCCCGACCATGTGAGTTGTTCTGGATTCCCATCGCTGACTGTGAGGAGAGCTTGCCCTATTTTTTTTGGGTAATTGTTATTTCAGCAACACTGAGCCTAAGCGACATTTAACACGGGACATGGAAAGAGCAACCACCACTAATGTGGGGAAAGTAAGTTCATGCTGAAAATATAATGTTCAGGTATCTCTTTTTTACCACAGCTTATGACCACTCATTCTGGCTGTGACAAAGTCTCTCTCCCTCTTGAGAGATGGCCGATCAGTCTTTTGTAACATAAAAATACCTAATTTGGCTAAAACAGAGGGACCAGGTGCCTGTCTGGCTGTGACAAAGTCTCTCTCCCTCCTGGGAGATGGCCGAGCAGTCTTTTGTAACATAAAAATACTTCATTTGGCTAAAACGCAAGTGCCTTCAGAGGGACCAGGTGTGATACCAATTACAACATCTTGTGTGCATCTGTACAAATGAAAAGATAAGGTTATGGTAGAGGGCTACATGGGCTGCTTACAGAGGATGGAATGGCCTTTTGGCAAAGGCTATCAGAGGACTGTAGTATCTAAGATAAAAACCTCAGTGTATCAGACTTGAGCCTCTGTCTTGTGAGGTGTAACAGTCAAAACAGTCAAAGGCAAGCCTTTGGCCTAAGGTAAACCTCCTTAGATCGTGGGAATATATGGTAGCAAAGCAAAGCTATGCTGGAATCACTGCTTCCATCTTAGGCCAGGTGGTAGTTTCATTCTTTTTCTCCTCTTACCCTAGCAGAAATGCAGTCCTTTAGAGATGGCATGTGTAGAGGTTTCCTGATCTCCTCATCCCCAGCTGTTAATTAAAAGAACAGCATCCTAGCATCTTCCAGAGCTGAGCAGGTTGCTCCTTCCCTCCCAGACCAGACACTGAAAGACGGTCCCTGCATGTCTCCACCTCACCGTGGTTCACAGTGAAAGCATGTTCAAAAGCAACCCAGCCATATGTGCAGCCAAGCAAAAGCCTTCATCTAATTTAGAACTGCAGGGTGGTTCTGTTGCTTTCTTTTTTTTTTTTTTTTTGTCTGTTGTTTTCCCACCTGGTTGCCTTTATCCTCACAACCTGGAAAATATCTCATCTGAAGTAATTTTTTTTTTCTGTTCAGATCTTTCAATTGGAAGGACTCCCTGGAGTGGGATCTACAAATCAAAGCCACATTTGGGGTGGCAGAGGGCAGTCTTGTTGCTGGAAGCACTGAGACTGAT